GAGGGATTTCTTACTTACACTAACTGAGGGGGAAAGACCCTTCCTGGAGGGGTGGCACCTTCCAGCAGCTGGGGCTCAGATACAAGGATGTCCAAGGAAAGGCATTTGTTTCTTGCCTGTCTTGGCCTCTTGCTGGTGAGGGCTGATGTTGTCCTCTACTGATATCTGAAGCCAGCTTCATCAGCCTTCCGACCCAGATTGAACACCAGTGTCTCCCTGGGATCCTCCAGGCCTTTGGCCCCGAACTGAGACTGCTGGGGGTTCCCAACCTGTCCCGTGTGAGACAGCCATTGTGTAACTACCCAGCCTGTACCGTGTAAGCTAAAGTAATAAACCCCCTTTAAATATGCATCCGTTCTGTGCATTCCATTCCTCTAGAGGACCATGACTACCACAACACTTATGGTGAAGTTGTGGAAATATTATCACTTAAATGAGAAGCACAGCAAAAAATGCTGAGTCTCACCTCTTTCTTTCCGTGTTGGATTAGACACCCAACTGGTGTAGGAGGCAAGAGAAGTGAGAGCTACAAAGATGAGGAGGGAGGTCCGCAGGAGGTGGTGACTCACACCTTTCATCCCAGCACTTGGGAGGCAGAGGTGGGTGGACTGCATAGTGAGTTCCAGGCCAGCCAGAGCTACATAGTGAGAGTCGTGTCCCCCAAACCAAAACAGATAGACAGGCAGACAGAAAGCAAGGAAGGGAGAGAGGGAGGGAGGGAGGGAAGGATGGAGGTAGGAGCAACTTGTGGATACTATTTGTTTTTGTGCTGAGGTGGAAAACTGTTAGACAATTGTTACAGTGGGCAGGAGAATTTGGAGGGTCTCGGAGTGCAAGCAACTGATCAGGAAAGAGAGACCACACAGAAATCTGAAAAGGAAAAGTTGAGGACAGGTAGCTGTCAAGGTAGACGTCAATCTCTAATTGACTCCCTAAGGCTACGTGAGAGTTTCCAAGGCCAGAGCGATATGGAAGGAGAATGCCCTCCACCAAACTGGGGTTCTGATCTCATGGGAGAAGGCATGGCTGCATACCCTAAAAGTAATGTTGGTCAGAGATGGTCCCTAGTTACTGTCAGTTACAGATAGCCTAGGTAGGGAGGAGGAGAGAGTAGGCAGGCAGGATTTGGGTTATATGTGATATTTATTTTTAATTTTTGAGACAGGGTGCCAATATACAGCTCTGGTTGGCCTGGAACACACTAGGTAGACCAGGCTGACCTCAAACTGACAGTTCCATCCACTTGTGCCTCCTGCATACTGGGATTAAAGGACCCAGCAATAAATATTTTTAATTCACACATGATGGTTGGGGCTATAGCTCAGTTGGTAGAGTGCTTGACCAGCATTTACAAAACCACAGGTTTCGTCACGGCACCAAACAAACCATGAGTCGTAGCAAAACCTGCAATGCCAGCACTCAGGAGGCAGAGGTAGAGGCAGAGGCAGGAGGATCAGAAGAACAAGACTCCTTAACTCCATAGTGAGTTAGAGGCCAGTCTGGGCTGCAGAAGACCCTGTCTCATGAAGGAAAAGAAGGGGCGGAAATCATAGCTGCAAGTTCAGGTGACTCCAGGTCTGTCCCTTTTGTCTCTGTGCTCTTACCATGGAACATCCCAGGTTGAACAGTCTCTTCAGTGGGATTGTATCATCCATACTAAAGGTGGGCCCTTCCTCTCTAGTTTAGTCCAGAAATTCCCTCACAGGCATGCTCTGAAGTTGCCTTCTAGACGATTCTAGATCTTCTAGGGTTGACAGTGAAGATTAACATTTTAGGCACATGGGAACAATACACGGGGACAATTCCCTGTACCTGGCCCCTCTTAGGATGATCTGGATCCTGCCCACAAAGATATAGGTCCACTCAGTCTGCCTCTTAAGGCCGTTGCACCAACACCACCTGGAGGGGACAGGGGCAGACGACAGGGGGGTTGTGCCCATCAAGCCCCAGGTGCTGTATATGTTCACGTTGCCATCTTTGCAGATCCCCAAATCTAGCTGAGGCCACATGGATTGCTCTAATGTTACTGGGCATTGTCAAAAGGGAGATCTGGCTGCCACATGGTGATGGTGGCGGAGCTCAAATAGGCTTCTGCCAGCCAAGGAAGAGGCTAGAATGGCCACAAGCCAGCAGATGCCAGAGAGGTCTGGAGCACACTCCACAACGGTGAGGTGTCGTCACTTTCTACGGCAGCCTGGAATAGCCTCAACCAGCGGGACTGCAGTCAGTCCCTCTGGAGAGAGATAAGTCCCTGGCATCATAGCTACCATAGGTGGACATCCAGGGGTCCATCTGGGTAGCCTTGCACACGAGGCACTGGGCTCTCCTCTCTAAAGGCCACAAGCAGTGCTAGTGAAGTCGTGTCCTGGGGTGACACTATCCTACCTGTAGGCTGTCCCAGCACAGGACCATCTGGGTGGTGTGAGAAATTGCTGGAAGTTAAGGGGTCCCTTTCTGGTGGCAGAGCTATGGTGTGGGGCTCTCATGGCAACATGGAGGAGTTGGCAGGGGGATGCCTGGAAGGACCCCAGAATAGCGGGGGCTGGAGACAGTCGGGGCTGCCCTGCATCTTGTGGATGAGACAGGTGGGGAGAGGTGGGCAACACAGGCTGCGAAGACAAGAGTCAGGTGTATCTGGTCTCCTCCACCCCTTCACCTGCTCAGCACTGCACCGGAGCCAGAAGACAGGCAACCTTTGGTTAGTGGCTCTGTTCTCAGGCCCCTTTGTTTTGCAGTTATTTGTGCAGACTGCTGGGGAGTCTTGAATGTGGACTTGATGTGGCTGAGAAGTGCCTTGGGGCCCAGTAAAGCTCACTAGTCAGTATGTCTGTCTATGAAGGTGTCTGCAGAGCCATTTAAGCATGAAGGTGAGGAGTGCTGTGTCTGCAGGCTGCGGGAGTGAAAAGGGCAGCAGTGGAGAGATGGCTCAGAGGTTAGGGATGCTAACTGCTGTTGCAGAGGACCTGGGTTCAGTTCCCAGCACCCACAAGGTGGCTCACAACTATCTGTGACTTCATTTCCAGGGGATCTGATACCTCTTCCAACCTCCAAGGGCTCCTACATGCATGCGGTGCACATATATACACTCAAGCACATACATACACACACCATAAAATAACTAAATCTAAAATAAGTAAATCAATGAATGCATGAAGAAATATCAACCAAACAATTTTAAAACAGGGGAGGGACCAGAGAGATAGTATTAGTTTCTCTCTCCACGCATCTTTTCTCCCTATACCTCTTCTTCCTGGACAAGTATGGTGGGAACTGCTTTGCCCAGCCAGGCCTCCCACTACCCACCATGAGATGGATTCAAACCCTAGAGTCTATGATCCATGTTTCGTTGAAGCATTTTGCCTAACACACCGATAAAGTCTCATCTTCCCGACAGAGAAAATGTAAAATAGGCTGTGACGTCTAAAGAACCAACAGGAAGAGGCAGAGGTGGGCAGGCCATGCTGAAGCTGCTGCCAGGTAGCGGGGAAAGCTGCTGGGAGAGGAGGACAAGTCTCGAAGCAACCTGGGGAGGCAGTGAGCAAGAATGTGCAGAACAGAGGCCCTGTGTGTGCAAGGGGCCGGCAGTGGGAGCTCGCTTTGTGAACTGAGGCAGAGCAGGAGGTGGAGATGGTGTGGGGAACAGCAGAAAGAGACTCAAAGAAAGCAGGTACTGAGAGCTCTGTGGCTGTGGATGCCACAGAAGTTAAAGGACTTGAGCTTTAGCTGAGTACACAGGGCACAGACTTGTTAGCGGTTGCCCCACCCACACCTGTTACTACAGACTAGGAAGCAGCAGGCAGATGGTGGCAGCAGAGGTCTCAACCTAGGTGACAAGACAGGGAGCTGAGAACCAAGCGACAAATGTCTTGGAGCAGAAGGGAGATAGGTCCCATTCCACTCGTCTCAATGACACAGCTGACGGATTTACCAGAGATGGGTGTGGAAGTCACGGCATCAGGGGTGACTCCTGGTGCACTGCTGGCGGGGAAGGAGCCTATGCTGAAGCTGAGATGTCCTCTAGTGACGTCAGACCGGGGTGGCTTCCCGTGTAGACACAGGAGCTGAGGGGGCAGCTGTCCTAGGAGCTCTGTGGAGAGCAGAGGCTGATGTAGATGGGGGATCTCAAGCATAGGGGGGCCGGGTAGGCAGGAGCAGTTTGGAGTCTGGACAGTCATTCCAGAGGAGCCACGTGAACTGCTTCAACGTGGACTGTCATTAGTAAGTCACGTGGGCTGCGTGAGCAGGGCACCCACTGGATCTGTTCAAAAGTCACTACTGACTATGGAGATTGTCCTAGGGGAGCACTGGGATGGGGGAGGGGGTAGGCTAGAGAACAGGAGAGATCTGGAGACCGGGAAAAAGGTTATGAAGATTGTCCAGGAGGCAGAAGGGTGGAAAGTTTGGAGACAGGGCAGGCAGAGCTGAACTCTGGGCCCCCCTCAAACTGTGTGCTCCCCGTTGAGAAATCACACTAAGCCATAGCTACAGTGAACATGTACAAGCTACAGCTTGGTGGTCTGTCTAGCCTTACAGTGCATGAGCGTGCATATGTGTATATGTGGGGGTGCACACATGCGTGTTTCTATTTCCAGCTCCACACGCAGCATCCAAGAGGTCAGCGGCAGGTACACGGGTGAGCCCTGATCTCCAGGCTGATTCAAGCCCCTTGGAAGGGTCTGGAGCTCAAGCTGGTGATCTGCCTTTCCAGGAGCCTGCTCTCAAAGAAAACACTGAGGTAGCAGTGGCCTCATACGGCCAGGAGGCAAAATGAGTGGGTGGAGAGGACAAGGTGAGAAGCCTGAGGGAGCGAGGCCCCAGGCGCTCTGCAGAGACCAGCCAAGCTATTTCAGGTGATCCTCATAATGGATGAATCTGTCGCCTCTCAGATTTCCTTTGGGGTAGTGGGGCACACGTGACTTTTAGCTGTTTTGAAACCCACGCAGTTGTTCTAGGGTTCCCCAGAGTCTCACACTGAAAGCAAGGACACAGGACCACCAGGCTTTGAAATTGGGTTTAATGCATCATATGGAAGGAAAAACTACACTGGTATATTTAAGACAAACACTTTCTCTAGCCACTATCCACTGAACGGTCCTCCTTGGTACCCTCCCCAAAAAAACTAAGTCTCAAGACACGTCAGCAGCTCCCCATCCCGGGTCCAACTTCCATATCCTCCCACGTTTCTTACAAAATCAAACTCAATGCATCCAAGAAGCAAATCAAACCAACGAAAGAAGAACCTGAAGACAGTTACGTCACCAGCCGCACGGTAATGCGTAACCAATATATAGGCGCACGCCGCTCATCGATAAAAGAATATAAAAATCTTGTTCAACCCAGTGTAACATGTATTAAAATAGATTTGTATCCTACAGCACAGTTTCTCCCGGAGTCGTGAAAAATGACAGGAGGGACAGTAGCTGGCGGTGGGGTCGCAGCCAGCCTTCCCACTCTGCACGTGTGTCTGCGGGCACAAGTGTGCGGCCGTGGCCCTGGCGCGGGCACGAGTGCCCGCTGCAATTCGGCACCATGTGATATGCTCGGGGGAGCCCTGGGGCTCCTGATCGCATGTGGGTTGTGCTGTGTCCCGCAGGACGGGGTGGGGCTTGCAAAGTGGGCTGCATGGCTCACAGAGGTGCAGGAACCCCCAGGGTGCTTAGGGACCTGCACTCCCTGCAAACGAGGAGACAGCATTGAGGAGGAGGGCTCTGGAGTCTCCAAAGGTCAGGCCCCCAAATGCATCACCCTCTCTGCCTCCCCGCTGGATCTCTAGATCCCTTCTGGGTGCTCCATCCGGCCCCTCTCTGGGGAGGTTACTTCATTTCTGTATTGGAGCGGAGACTACCAGGTGCAGAGGAAGGCAGACGGGGTGCGAGTTCACATTACGGATCGTACAACAGAAAACGCTATACAAGAAGTGTGAAGCTCTTTTTGGCATAGTGTCTTTAACTGGCAAGAAGTGGGCAGGATGCTTGGCAGCTCCTGCCATGGAGAGTGCGCTAAAGGCTTCCACTATGAGGGGAAACCTGCCAGGGGCCTCCCTCCCATGATGGGTGACTGCTCTGTCTAACCCAGAACTCCAGAAGGAACATTCCAGAGATTGGCAATAGGAAGAAGTGGGCTGCAGCAAGGGCGTGAGCCAGGGAAGAATGAGGCAGAGGCCAGGCTGGGCAGCCCAAGCTGGCCTGTCACTTGTCTAATTAAATGACTGAGTTTCAACATAGTAATACTGATGGATTAGGGGCCAGCGGGTCACAGGGAGCCCCAGGGCCACTGGAGAACTACCTAGGTTAGCTATCCTCTCTCGTACCAGAGGCTCACCCTGACATCCCATTAACCAGCTAGCTGTTGTTGCTTGCCTCCCCACAGGCTGTGCATGGCCTAGTCTGCTTCATTCTCCACAACCTAAAGTCTTCCTCTCCTGAGGGGGACAATGCAATGAGAGAGCTGGCCATGCCAGCCCGGGGTGAGGGCTGAGACACCCTCATCTGGTCCTCAGGTGGACCTAGCAACTGGTACAGGTATCTACCTCATGCTGGCTCTGGCTCTGGCTCTGGTTCTGGGATGCCCAGCTCACTCCTTTTTCTCTCCGTCACTCTGTCTAGTTTATTTTTGTCTAAAATTCATAGAGTTTATGAATTAAGGCCGACAGATCCCCCAGGTCTTGAGAGTAAGGTCCCAGTAACTTTCCGTGAGTTGTAATTCAGGTCCCTGGGGTCAGTTGTGGCTCTGGGGGTGCTGGAGGGCAGTGCGCATGGTGGTAGTGGAAGGCTTGGTCCAGGGCCCCACCAGAAGCGGGGTGGGGCTGGTGGTTGCCATAGTGACCTGGAGCATCTGCTCACCCTGGATCAGTCTCAGCAGGGCCCGGATGCGGTCCAGCGATGACTGTGTGCCCCTTTGGCGGGCCAGGAGACTTGTCTTCAGCTCCAGGCATTTCTGTCAAGAACAGAAGTGTTGGAGATGGCCTCAGAATTGGATTCTGCAGCAGCCTGGGCCAGCCACATTGTTCCACAAAGCCTCCCAACCCCCAGAAGAACCTGAAACAGCCCAAGGGCCTCACACAAAATGGAATTAAATAAAGGATTGGAGTGGCATGCTGGCTCCAGGAATGCCTGCCCCTGAAGTTGATGGTCCATCCGGGCCAGCAGCAGTCAGTGAAGCCCACAGACTTGCCAGCTTCTCTGTGTGTCACTCAGAGACAACACTGCGGTGGAACTGAGGCCTAGAGTCATATGACCATGGTTCTAGGCCAAGTGGTGCCAGTGTAATATTGATCTCTTTGGGGCACCCCTTACACTATATGGATAATCAGGGATTTTATAGGGTTTAGGATAGCTATTCTTAGTTGTCTATTTGATCACATATGGATTTATCTAAAACTCAAACAAATGGGAACATTTGTGAGGAATTTTTCTTCTTAATTACATCGTTTAAAGTAGGAAGACACACTTCTAATCCGGATCTTCGCGGTGAGAAGATCCACCTTTATTCTGGGCCACACCTTCTGCTGGCCTGGAAGTTTTGGTTCCAGAGTGGGGAACACTTCTGCCAGGAGCCACAACAAACATTCCACTGAACTGGAAGCTCAGATATTCCCACACACACACCCCGCAACCTCCAGCCACTTGGGCTTTTGATGCCCTTAAGCTAACAGGGAAGGGTGATTGATCCAGATTACCATGGGAAATTGGATTGTTTCTCCACAATGGAGGTAAGAAGGGTATGTCTGGGGTGCAGGAAACCCTTTAGGGCATCTCTTGGTGCTATCATGTCCTGTGATTAAATCAATGGAAGACTACAACAATATACTCCAGGCAGGATGACAAAAGGCACAGACCCTTCAGGAATGAAAGCATTGGTCACTCCTCCAGGAAAAGAGCCAAAACCTGCTAAAGTGCTTGCTGAGGGTGGAGGACATGCAAAATGGGTAGTGGAGGAAGGTGGTTACCCTAGCTAAGGCCACGTGACCAGCTGCAGAAATGAGAATTGTAGTTGACATGAGTGTTTCTGTCATATTTCGTTAAGAAAGTATTTGTTTGTACAGATATTGTGTTTTCTTTCCTTGATTTCTTTACCACGTAATATCATGAATATGATAAGAATATGAACATTTCTTTATCAAGTAACATCAATTAAGAGAATATCAGTGGTTATCATATGTAAGTTGAGATACTAAAAGAGTGTTCCTCTAGGGACAGTAACTCCTATTCTATGGATTTGTGGTTATATGATGGACAGTTATGTCATGTTACGCATAATTATGACCCGGTCATATGCATGGGATAGTAATATCATGTTATATGTAATTAAGTTCTAGTTATTGTTTTCATTGGGAAATTAGGCAGGACATAAGGAAACATAATTGTGTGTCAAGCTGAGGGGTGGACTTGTAATGGCTATTCTTGATTGTCACCTTGACTACATCTATAACCCAAATGGCTGAGAGCATACCTGTGAAGGATTTATTTTTTTCTTAATTAAATCATTTGAAGTGGGAAGACCCCACTTCAAATCCTGCTCTTTTTTTGCTTGTTTTGTTTTAGTTTGATTTTGAGACAGGATTTCTCTCAGATCCTGATCTTTGAGGTGGGAAGATCCATCTTTAACCTGGGTCACACTTTTTGCTCGTAGCCTCAATATAGAGGGCATTGAGGCAGGAAGCTTGCTCTCTTTCCTGCTTCCTCTGACTGACAAGTCCATTTCTTCATTGGCTTCAGAGACTACTTTGGGTTTCTGGCATATACTGAAGACCAGCTGAGACATCCAGCCTCATGGACTGAACAGTTCCTGGATTCTTGGACCTGTGGGTAGACAGCCATTGTTGGGCTGGCTAGACCACAGTCTGTAAGCCATTCTAGCAGAGCCCCTTTATGTGTCTTCATAGATTCATGCTATCAGTTCTGATCTCTAGAATCCTGACTATTGAGGCACTGCATTTAGAGAGCTTCTCCAGCCTTAGATCCCAGACCCTTGGGCAGATGAAGGTGAAAGACAGTGAGTTCAAGGCCTGCCTGGGCAACTTAGTAAGACCTTGTCTCAAATTGCTAAGGAAAACACCACTCAATGCAGGGGGAACGCGGGAGATGGCTCAGTGGGTTAGAGTGTTTGCTCTGCAGCGTGAGCCGCTGAGCTGGAATCCCCAGCTGATACATAAATGTCACTCATGACCATATGTGGCTGTAACCCCAAGGTTGGGAGTTAGAGACAGGCGGATCCTGGGAACTCAAAAGCTCAACAGCCAAGCCAAAATGGCAGGCGTCAGGTTTGGTGATAAAGCCCCTACATAGGGAATAAGCGGAGAGCAACAGAGGAAACATCTGACAGCCTTCTCTGGCCTCAACACGTGTGCACACAAGTATGTGTACCTGTACATGCATTCACACCTCTAGACCCCCTCCTTCCTGCCCATCCTCCATGCATGGGATATAAAGTGTTTGTGTAACATGTGTGAGACCCTATGCTCAATCCCCTGTACTGTAAAAATAAATTAATTAAATAAAACAGAAAAGCCAACCTCCTCCAGGGCCCAGAACTACTATTAGGACTACCGTTACTACTACTGTCAGCATCATTTGACATCTCCATCATCACCATAATGATCACCATTAGCACCACAACCATCATCACTACCGCAATTACCATCACTACCATTACCACCATCACCACTACCAACACCATCATCACCATCACTACCATTATCACCCACCATCACTACCGCAATTACCATCACTACCATTACCACCATCACCACTACCAACACCATCATCACCATCACTACCATCATCACCATCACTACCGCAATTACCATCACTACCATTACCACCCACCATCAGCACCACTACCACCATGCATCACCTCCACCATCATCATCTTCATCCTTTGCCTATCAATCTACAGAGGACTATGTTCTCTTTATAGAGGACAAAGTTGAGGTTCAGAAATGCAGGGCCTTGCCGAGGTCCCAGCTGAGAGGAGGGAGCTTCAGAATGTCCCCAAACGCTTGGTAAGCTCTCATGGTCCACATCAGAGCTGCACCCTGAAGCTGTGGGTCTGTGGGTTCGGTGAGCAGGTGACGAGGGACCCGCCCCACTTGCGCTCACCTTCACTGCTGAGGCCAGCTGCCGGTCCCGCTCCTCCAGCTGCTGGTGCTCAGTCTGGAGCTCGCTGCCCCGCTGCAGCAGTTTCTGCTTCTCTTCCTCTTTCACTGGGGGAGAGAGAGAGGCCAGCCCCATGGAGGGGCGGGTGAGCAGCTGGACCACGAAGGTTCTGCTAGGGACCAGCCCCAGCCACCCCTTTCTCGAGCTCTGGCCCAGAAGAACCTGTACATGCCTAGCATCCCCACAAGGTCCCATCTGAACCCAGGGGTCCTTTCCCACTCCTAGGGACCCTTACCTGTCTTGTGGGTGACGTAGGAGTGCACAATGGCCAGCATCCCAGTCCAGGGCACACCTTCATCTTTCTTTAAGGCCTGTGGGGCAGATGGGATGATAAGAATACAGGTCCCAGAACTTTCTGAGACCAGATCCTGGCTATGCACCCCCAGGGAGGCATGCTCTCTGAGTCACAGATTCCCAACTGTGAGCAGGGAATAGTAGCTACATCTTCTTGGTCCACTGGGGCTGCTCAATGAGAGACTTCCTTCTAGGTTTCTCTCCTTTGGAGAAGCCAGGGATGGGTGCTCAAGACCCCTTCGTCACTCTCCTGTGCACCTGCTACACCCATTCTGGGGATCACCCAGAACACTGTCTCAAATGTGCAGTGGCAAGGTGTGAGCCCTTCTGCCCGCACCTTCCGCTGGCACTTGGGGCAGACCCATACGCCCTTGGGTGCCGTCTTAAGAGGCGGGTCCAGGCAGCTGAGGTGGTAGGCCCCGGAACAGGTGCCACAGGGCTGAAGGTTGGCTCCTCGCTTGCAGGCACCACAGAATTCATCGTGGGTGATTTCATTCTGCAAGAGAAAGGAGGGCAGGAAGCGCTTCAGTCAGGCCCAGGCAGCTTGAGAGAGTGGGAGAGAGAGATTCCCCTTCAGGGTGAGAGTGTCAGATGTGTGCCCCATGGGTACGGTTCCAGGGCACTCCTTTATACTCTGACCAGGGCACTGAGCACTGGAGAGTCACACAGCAGGCCCCAGCAGCAAGCCTCCCATGTAGCAGGGCCTTGCAGCGATGACTCCTCCTTACATTGCCTCAGGGCGGGGACAGTAGCCTGATACAAGCTATACCTTTAGTCCCTCAACTGCATACCCATCTAGTAAGGACCCCTGCCACTTGGGTGGGTCACACACCTGTTTCTATATCCATGACGGGGATAAGAACAGTTGTCCCTTGGGTGCTGGGTGGGACAAAGTGCACCCCACCCATGCCTGCTGTCCTGCAGTGCAGTATGGGATAGGGCCCTTCTGTCCCTCCCAGAGGCCTCAGGATAAGCTCTAGGGACTGTGCTCCCCAGCCCACCAGCTGGCTGCACCAAGGGGAGCTCTGCCGATGACCCACACCTGCCCAGCCACTGACAATGGCCCTGGTCTGTGAGACTATCAAGTTTCCGACTCCAGCACTGAAGTAGTGGGAAGGGACGGCCCCTGTCGCAAGCGACTGGACACCAGAGGTGTCCCCAAAGGAGGCCTCCAAGTCTCTCATTTGTATCCCGCATCCAGCGCAAAGACTCAGGAAGGGCGAAGCATTGGTCTGGGGTCACACAGGGAGGGGAATGGGAGTGGAGCCAGGCCTCCTGACTCGAAGCCAAGGCCCCTCCGGGACTAGGAACTTATGGAAAAGGGGGAGTCTTCCACACCTCATGCATCCCCTTGTCTGTGTGGTCTGAGCACCTGTGTTTACTACTGCAGGGTGACCTTGGAAAGCACTGTGGCCACCCAGAGCAGGCTGTAAGCAGTTTCATGCACGTGTGAGTGTGTGGGACGAGGTTCATTCGGAATTAGATTAGAAACTGGGGAAGGGCTGTGGAGAGAGTTCAGAGCGCAAAAGCACCTGATGCCGGGGTTGAGATCCATCCCTATGGTTTACGTGATGAAAGGAGAAAACGGAGCCCCGCAAGCTGCCCTCTGACCTCTACCCTTGCACAATGGTGCACATGTGTGCACGCGCACACACATACCCCATAAATCAAGTAAATGAAAAGAAATAGGTCAGTGAGAGGTTATGCTCAGGATCCAGGTTCTGACCAGCTCAGGGAACAGGAATGCGGGCTTTGTCGGTGGGCGATGTCACAGGATCATAATGGGCACACAGGGTGACACCCTGGGAACTAGCCCTTTGGATGGGCAACAGAGAACTAAAAATGGCCAGTTCTGCCGAGAGTCACACAGAAAAGCCAGGCAGAACCAGGGTCAGGTGGTACAACATGAACACCCTCAGGACCAGGCAGGGGGGAATTCTCTGCAGTAATGTAGGGCTCAGCCTGGCATGAGGGCATGAGGAAAGCAGGCCTGGTGTTGTGAAAGCTCTGGGTACCAATGAGAGATGTCCCACACCCCTTCATGTGAAGATGGGGGTCACGTACCTTCCAGCAGGGGTCCTCATTGGCTAGCACAGGGAGGAAGGGTGGAGAAGATGTTAGTAGGGACTGGGAGAAGCATGGGTCATGGCTGGGGTCCCATTGGCTTGGTGTGGCAGAGTCCTTGCCCTAGAGCATGATGGGAGTATCACAAGGCCCAGTGATGCCGGAGTTCTCAGAACCATGTGATGAGGGAAGACTCTCTGCCTTGGTTCTGGCCAGGACATCTGAACTCATGAGGATCACGTCTGGCACAGGGAAGTGCCTCAGAGACAAAACCAGAATTCATAGGACCCCTTGGAGTAACCTGCTTCCAGCTCCTTCTGGCTGTGAACCCTTCGTATTTTAGGCCATGATCTCGAACCACACACAGTAAGAGACTCAAGCAGGGTTTTCCTTCCAGGTTCCTAGACAAACCATCTCTGACGATGCTGTTCCTGGGAGGAACTGTCCACCAACTACAGCAGGCATTACAGGCCCACTGTGTAGATCAATGGTCCAGCAACTAAGGAGTGGCTGATGCCAGGAGCTACACAGAATCCCAAGATGCAGGGAGGCAATCCTGCCCTCCAAAACTACTGGTAGTTCTTTCTTTTCTTCTGAGACAAAGTCTTTCTTTAGGTCAGGCTGGCCTGAAACTGACAGCAATCCTCCTGCCTCAGTTTCCTGAGTACTATGATGAGAGAGACAGGCTCCCAGCCGTGGAAGATGGTTGGCACAGGAGAAAGGACCCTACTGAAAGTAGGGATGTATGTCCTTGCCTGTCAGAACTGGGCCCAGCACCCAGTACTCCTAGATTAACTGAGGCTGTTCAACTGCTCAGAGTCAGCCCAGGAGGGAGGGCAGGGTTGGGATGAGGCCCAGCCCAGCTGGGAGATGAGGCCTGCTCTCTCCAGAGCTGTTTAATGGCAGGCAGCATGGCTAAACTGGCAGCATGGGGCTCACGCTCAGGCTGTAGACAGAGGGGCAGGGAAGCAGAGGCACCCTCTACACACCTTGTGGCCTGCCCGCTCAGCCCTTTGGCGGACGGCCCTACCACGGCGATCTTCAGCCTGGGTCTCTGAGCTCGACACCCAGCAGCGTTGTAACTCTGGAGGGTAGCAAGTCCCCACCACGGTGCCTGTATCTAATGAGATGGAGCCGATTCCAGTGGCCCTCCTCCTTCCCCAGGAGCCCCAAGAGCAGAGGTTCCATGAAGCCCCAAAGAACAGTGGAGAGGCCGGGCTCAGGGAGGGTGTGGGTCTGTGGAAGCTGTGGCTCTGGCTGGCACTTACCTCGTGTTGTCAGGAACAGGGGGTTGTGGAGATAGCTGGAGGCCAGCCGCTTCCTCTGTAGGGGCAGAAAGCAGAGCCAAAGAAACGTTCGTGCGCACTCTTAGGTCACTACAACGCCCTATGGGACAGCCCGACATCCGGCTCTGGAGACCGGGCAGACACCCTATGTAGAAGACATGGGGGACAGATACCAGGGCTCCCCTTCCCAGCTAAATTCAAGTTCATGAGACATGGATGTAGGACCTACATCCTAAAGAAAGGAAGTGGGGCCTAAGAACAGCTCAGCCATTAGGAGCTTCTGCTGTTCTAGAGGACCCGGCTTGCTGCCCACCGGCTGCCCAGGCCCAGGGGTTGAGAGGGCACAGGCCTGAGATGGTACAGTCCATCAGAGCAGAGAGACACCTCAGGAGCCGCCCCAGTGGAGGACAAGCCACAGTGGGCTCTGTGTTGTGAAACGCATCAGTGCGTAGCCGGGCTTTGTCCATGGGCCTTTCATAGTAGTCTGATGAGGGACCCCGCACTACCTGTGGCCAGCAGGTGTGTTTGATACTCAGAGTGGCCTCGGCTAGGACTCCAACAGACAGCGTTTGTTTTATGACAGGGTCTCACTATGTAACCCAGGTTGGCCTGGAGCTAAAAATCCTGCCTCAGCTTCCTGGCTGCTGTGTGACGGGTGTGTACGCTCAGTGAGAGTACACGCCTTGCTTCAGCTGAAGGCTTCTGGTTAGGAAGGATGGGCAAGAAGACAGTAAGAAAGCTGGCCAAGGTCCAAAGGCTCATCTGGACCCATCAAATGTTCATCGTAGAAGGGGGAGGGGCTCATGGGGCTCTACACTATTTCTCCCAGACCCAGGGGTGGTGCCCAAGAGTCCCACCTCGGTCTCCAAGAAGCCGCTATAGGCGGGGTTAGCCGTGCTCCTCCTCTTCCGCTCCTGCCGCTTGCTCTGGATTTCTGGAAAGGCAGACAAAGCAGTCACAGGCTCCTCACCCAGTAGGTCAGGGCAGGTCAGAGCCTCCAGGAACTGTTTAGACCATGGCTCTGGTGGACTTAGGATCAGTGCCAGGTAGGGGATGATGGTACAGGGACACACTCCTCAGCATAAGGCCCTGTGGTAGTTTAAATAAGAATGGCCCCCAGAGGCTCATATATTTGAATGCTTAGTCACCAGGGAGTGGAACTCATTGAAAGGATTAGAAGGATTAGGAGGTGTGGCCTTGTTGAAGGAAGTGTGTCACTGGGGGGTGGGTTTGAAGTTTTAAAAGCCTATGCCAAGCCCAGGTTGTGTCTCTCTCTCTCTCTCTCTCTCTCTCTCTCTCTCTCTCTGCTTGTGGATCAGGATGTACCTTTCTGCTACTTCTCCAGCACCACATCTGCCTGCTGCCATGCTCCCTGCCATGATGATAATGGACTGAGCTTCTGAAACTGTGAGCAAGTCCCCAGCTAAATGCTTTCTAAGTTGTCTTGGTCATAGGGTCTCATCACAGCGATGGAACAGTGACTAAGACAGGCCCCCCTCTCTCGGGACCCCTGGATGGCAGCAGCAGAGTGAGGCCCTGGTTCTGTGAGGCCTTGGTGGAAAAGATGGGGATCTAAATAAATACTGTGAGATCCCAGATCATGGAGAGAGGTTTTCAAAGTGAAGGCCAACTGCATGTTAGGAAAGTGTTATCCCCTCACTCCTCATAACCCAATAAGCTTAAAGAGATGGTTTCCCTTATGTTGTAGATGAAGAGACAGGACCAAACACCAAAGAAGAAACATCAGCCCTCATGTATTAGTGAATGGCAAGACTGGACAAGAACCCCTGTTACTTTATTGTGCAGCCTCCAGGGTGGGGTCAGGCCCCTCCACAAGAACATGACAATGTCATGTGAGGCATGTTCAGTCATGGGATTCGCAAAGCCAGGCGTTTCTCTGGCTCGTCTTATGATTGTGCCCCCCGTTACCTGGGGCTGGGTTCCTAAAAGCCTCACATCTAGATAGGGTACAACCATGACCTGGGGTACTACCCTGAAGGCTGCTGCTTCTATCTAGGGCCCCACCAAGTCCCATCTACCAAACTCCACCTGCTGCCCCCATCATTACCTTCCAGATGTTCTGTTGTGACCAGGCCTAGAGCTACCATGAAGGCAATTTTCTGAAAAGAAAGGGGATAAAGAGGCGTTAACACAGCCGCCAGCTCTCATCCGACTCAGCCAAGAAATAGTCTGTGAGCCACAGGGCTATCCCCTGGGGATGCCCAATCATGCAGCCACTGCCCCAGAAACTTGGGGAGCTCAGATACCCAGAAACTGTTCAACATCAATGTAGGGAAGTTCTGGGAGTAGCTAGGAGCCTGTGATGGGGCCGGATAACACAGTCCTCAAATACGCTTTTGTTTTGTTTTGTTTTTTGAGGCAGGGTGTCTCTGTGTTACATTCCTAGCGGTCCTGGAACTAGTCCTAGTAGACCATGCTGGCCTCGAACTCAGAGATCTAACTGCCTCTGTCTCCTGAGTGCTGGGATTAAAGGCACGTGCCACTACTGCCCAGTTCAAATAGACTTTAAAAGAGAATAGTATGGGGCTGACAAGATGACAGGGACCCTTGAGGAATGAGAAGGCTGATCTCAGCCTGCGGGAGGCTCTAGCCTTAAGCAGAGGAAGAGTAGACAGACAGATGGGTGCCACTTCCCAAACCATTGTGCCCGTGGAGTGGGCTCTGCAGTGTGCTTGTTCAGCAAATGGACATCTGAGCAAATAAGAGACCAAAAGGAGGAAGGACAATAGCGTGGAAGATGGAGCCCCACAGGGTGCACACTATCCTGGCTCTAGTGGAAGCCAGAAGCCTCTGGGCTGAGTCCCTTACTCAAAACAGCACAGTGTCTACTACACAAATCCCACACACACCTCCTGAATACTTTAAACCACTTCGATACAGCCTGGAATGCCTGATGTGACAGGAACCACAAATAAATCATTGTTTCACTGTGCTCTCTAGGGAATACTGACAGCAGAGAGAGATGTCTGTGTGCATTCAGTCTGGATGCAACATGGTGGAGGAGACGCAGGAAGTGAGGGAGCCTGAAGATCTGTGAAACTACATTCCGGCAGGACACGCCCACACTTCGATGCCAGGATTCTGGGCTGTGCTTGGAGTGCAGCAAATCCAAGCACTGCCTTTTGAACTTTCCAGAATCCCCACCCCCACCCCGTCTCTCTTTTAATATTTTTGATACAGATTGAGCTGGGAGCTCCCTACAAGCCATAGATAAATGGGGCCAGTAAGATAGGCCAGACCCAGCTCTACTGGCCTTTTGGAATGTCTTGGAAGTGTAAGGACTTTGATGAAGGAGATGAACCAGGCCTATAGTCTCTTGCAAGTTCAATAATAGGGGCTTCTCACACCTGTCACCTTTTTTGCAGAAAGTTTAGAACCCGTGAGGGAGGAAATCATAGGCAACCCCTGGCAGAGTCGCTGGCCATTGCAGTACTGTCCTGAGAAACTTGACTGCAGCCCATCCTGCCCTGATTTAGCTGCCCACAGTGAAGGTGGCATCTCCGGTTCCCAGATGCAGGGCCAGGTAGCCTGGGCATGCTCTGGCTCTACTGGAGAAGCCCACCCTGCCCCAACTCAGCTGCCCACAGTAAGGGTGGCATCTCTGGTTCCCAGCTGCATGGCTGGGTAGCCTGGGCATGCCCTGACTCGGCTGGAGAAGCCCACCATGCCCCGACTCAGCTGCCCACAGTGAGGGTGGGATCTCTGGTTCCCAGCTGCAGGGCTGGGTAGCCTGGGTATACCCTGGCTCTGCCAGAGACTATTTCTGACCTAGGCACATGCAGCAGGCTTGCTGCAGTTTTGGGCACACAAGCTGCTTGCTGTGAGGACACATCCAACCATATAGGGGCACCTCCTACAGCGAGCACAGGCTGTGTGTACCCTCCATCCTGTGCCCCCACCCCTCACAACTGCCACCAAAACACCCCTTTCAAAGTGTCCAGGTATCGTTCTGAGCTGCTGGCCACCCAACGTTCCTGCTGCTATATAACTTCTGGGCCGTTTCAACACTCTCCTGGCAGGCTCGCCAGGTCTGCAGGCCTCATCATCAGCTGTTCCGGTTCTTTACAAAAACTGACGTCCATGCCTAGCGCTAAGACACAGGCTGATAATCCTGCTACCAGGGAGGCCGGGACAGGAATAAAGCAAGTTGGAGTCCTTCCTGGGCAACAGAGAGAATGAGTTCAAGTTCAGTCTTGGCAAGCTAGTGAGACCCAGTTTCTAAAGAGGAAGCTAAAGAAGGCTGGAGTTGTATAACAGCTCAGGGGTGGAGTGTAGCTCTATCCCGAGGACCACACAAAACCCAGAATCTGTGGCCTGCAATGGCCTGGGGTCCCACTTGACTCAGCGAGGTGCCTGGAGGCTGTCGCTCAGTGTCCTGATTGGCACATGGCCTCTTGCTGCAGGCCTACGCTGCCCAACTCTCAAACTTTAACAAGGGCTTCTACACCAGGGCGTGTTTTGACTGTTCTGTTTATGCCGTTATGAGTATTTACACTAATTACGCAGTTAGATATAATTATACTAATTGTAAAAATGCGCAATAATTGACTAAGATGCACTTAGAGAGAACAAGGAGATGTCGCCAGGAGAAACTTCCTGAATGGAGAATGCTGCAAACCTCAAGGCAGCAGAGACAGGAGTAGGCGAGGGCTACAGGCAACAAGTCAGCCAGGGCCTTACCATGTACATACATGGTGCTCAGACACTGTCACAGGCTGGACCCAATAGGACTTGGGGCTGGGGTCATTAAAGAGATGTGGCCCACATAGCAGCTTCATATTCCAGGCAACCCAATGGTGGTCTTTCTCTCTCTTTCTCTCTCTCTCTCTCTCTCTCTCTCTCTCTCTCTCTCGGTGTGTGTGAGCACGTGCATGTGTATATTGGGTCTCATGTAGCTCAGGCTAGACTCCAACTCACTAGGTAGCCAAGGATGTCCTTGAATGAGTCCTCCTGCCTCTACCCCCCAGGCTAGGATTAGAGGTGGGCACCACCACCATACCCAGGGTATGTAGTACTATGGATTTTTAGCAACCCCAGGGCTTTGTACGTGACAGGCAAGCTCTTTATCAATTTTGCTATCTCTTCAGCCCCTGAAGGCCTACTGCACACGAGCAAGGACAATAACCAGATTACTCTTTTACCCATCTACTCCCTGGCTCCCACATTTAAGGATTAAAACCCACCCTGGCTGTCTGGTTTTAAGTCTTCTGGAATCAGGGTCTGTCATCTGTCTAAGTTACCTGCTATCTGCAGCCCCGTTGACCTATCTGTGAGGCTCAAGCCCTTACTGCCCACACAGTACCCTCCACCTGCCCCGCCAGTCCCTCTGCCTCTAGTCTCTGGCATTCCCTTGACCTATGTCCATCATATCCGTCTTTATGCAAAGCCCCCTTCATCCCCTCAAGCAGCCTTTCTCTGTTCTTTTTCCTGTGGCTCACGGCTCACTGGAAGTTTCTTAAGCCCTGTTTGGCAGCCTTTGTAGTCACATTAGTCTCTGCCCTCAGAAAGGAGCCTCCCAGGACAAAGACCACATCTGCCCATCCTGGGCTCCTTGCTCGCATCACAGAGCACGGTGGAGGGCAGACCCAAGTGTGAACGCTGAGGGAGGACAAAAGGCTCAGAAAGCAAGTGATGTCTTTGGGACCACAGGTCACTGCAGGCGCCAGGAGCTCGGGAGCCTGGGGACCTAGGGGAGACTTTGCTGGTGTGGGATCAGCTGGGGGCAGGGCATCACGCTGACTGGACTTTGGTGGGACGAGGGTTGACCAAGGACATTAGAGTCTGAGTGAGGAGAGCCATGTGGAGAAGACCACAGCAGAGCAGGGATGTTCTCGGTGACATGGGGCTGAGAGTATAGCCTCAGCACAAGACAAACACCCAATAAAGCCAGGTCCTTGGTCAGCTGTTGCCCCGCTCTACGACCGCAGGTGACCAGAATGGTTCCACTTATCCCTCTTCCTCTAGGGAGTGGGAGGAGGTGTCACGTGCAACTTCTAGAAAGTTCTTAGGGCATCTGAGCTCTACAAAGCTACTGGTCTTGTTCTGTATCCCTCAAGCTTCCAGGGTTGAACACAAACAGGAAACAGAGGCAGGGGCCGCATGCTGCCCAAGGTGGGAAAGCATCCCTTTCTGGGCTTAGTCCTGAGAGGAACAAAGCTCACAGCCAGCGGGGAAGGTGGATAACATCCCTGAACCAGCGGTTCAACTGAGAATCCTCTAGCAACCCAGGCCTTACTGCTCCTGTCTGTCCACAAATCACTAGACAAGAAGCAACATTGTTGACATTCAGCCAGGCAGCAAGGTGGTAGAATCCGTGCTGACCATGGCCCTACCCTGCCTGCACAGCCCAGAGAACAGAGGGTGCAGACACAGCTCACTGGGTGAGCCCTGCTCTGGCAGCTACAGCCAGTCAAGAGCTTCCTAATGAAGTTGTCCCAACCCTGCAAAGAGCCTGGTCTTAAAGCCAAGAAGGGGTAGGTCTCTCCAGCAGGCCACACTACCTCAGGATTCTCCTGGCTGGGGGGCTGATCTTCCTTGGTGGCCTGAGCTCCCTGAGGTGGCTCCTCCGTGGGTGGCCGGGGCTCTGCTGAACTCTCAGGCTGCGTCTGCACTTGAGGCTGAATGATGATGACCTGGAAGACGCAGGAAGGATGAGAGGGGCAGGGGGTCCAGTAATGGAGATGCAGGGAGCAGTTAGGAGTCAGGTAGGTCCTGAAAGGTATATCACAGAGGAAGGAACCAGGTGGCTGCCCTGTGTCCAGGGCCTTGATTCCAAATATTCTCCCCCATCCCTACCTCCATGAGGGCATTTGTGTGAGAAATGGCCAGGGTTACAAACCAAGCAGGCCTGGGTGCAACTCTTACCACTCCCTGGCTATGAGGCCCCAGACAGAATACTCTGTACCTCCCTGAGCCTCAGGGAACACACTGGCAATGCCAGCCTCCAGGGGGCGCTAGCTCTTTACTCTCAGCTCAAATGTAGATTGAGCCTGGGAGCATTTAGGTGCCTTCCCTGCCTGAGGCATCAACTGGGAAGCAGAGTTGATTTGGGGTTGCCTGGGGAAATGGAAAGACATCTCAGCTACAGGCAGGAGAGTAGGCAGAGGGAACCAAGGAAAAGATGTCTAGAGGAAAAACAGGAGCTACCATGTTTCCCCAAAGGCCTCAAACAGGGCAATCTTTGGAGCGCTCTAGAGGACATGGAGAGATGATTTTAGTTTTAGCATTGAAACTAAATTCCTCACAAGATATCAAGGAGTTCCGTGCCCTGCCCCATCCAGGCAACTGGGGCATAAAATAGCGCTCTTGACCACTTGACTCTGCCATCAGACAGAGTATCAGCACCAGACTCTCTTGCAGCTACCCATTCAGCCACGTGTTATTAGTTCATTATTCCTGTATTAGTGACTAGCAGTTCTCTCAGCCAGATTTATTTGTCCCATACCCATCCACCTGCCCCCTAATTTACACATTTACAGTCACTCAGCCGATCACTTATTCGTAGCACCGCTCATGCTAACATTCATTTGCTCTCCTCTCTTTCTTTTTTTTTTTTTTTTTTTTTTTGATTTTTGAGACAGGGTTTCTCTGTAGTTTTTGGTGCCAGTCCTGGAACTAGCTCTTGTAGACCAGGCTGGCCTCGAACTCACAGAGATCCGCCTGCCTCTGCCTTCCAAGTGCTGGGATTAAAGGCATGCACCACCCCCGCCCGGCCTCCTCTCTTGAGTCTTAAACAGATCTGCACCCCTGGCCATATGCTCATGCTCCATCCAATTCACACTCTCAACTGCTCACACCTCCTGCCCCACTCACACTCATTTTTCATCTTGCTGATGGCTGGTTCATACTCCCTCCATACACTCACCTGAGTCTTTCCCCTTCACTCTTTGGCCATGTGACTATTCCACCACCCAGCTACTCCCCTGCCTAAGCATCAGCCCCCACACAAGCCTCCACATGCAACACATCCCCTGGGGGATTGCAGTGATGGCAACTCACCTTTTTGTCAGCACTGATGAGGAGGGGCTGCACTTTGATGCTGTCGCTGGCCACGGGCACGGTGGTGCTGGGGGTGATGGTGGCAGCATTGCTGGGGGAGCTGGAGATGATGGCATAGGCCACCCCGGCACTGCTCAGGGGTGAGGTGATGGCGGTGGGCTCGGTGAGGGCCTGGGCCTGGCTGCTGGGTGTTGGCACATGGTTGACGGTGTTGTTGGCAGTGGGGAGGGCTGGGCTGGGGTTCTTGATGCTGACCACAGTGGCCTTTTGGAATGTTGGGGGCTGCTTGGGTGGCCGGTCCCTGCCCGGGGTGACAGGGAGGCTGTCTGGAATCAGAGTCTTTGGCCTAACCTGGGAGGAAGGGACCAGTGTGTGGTCAGACAGAGACACAAGCTTTTGACGAAGGCACGGCAGCGGGGCAAACTTCAAGCAGACAAGCTGAGTCCGACATTAGAGCGGAAGGGACCCTGGATAATCCTGCTCTGAGTCTCCCAGCAGCCAAGACCTTGACCCCAAGGCCCGGGCTACTCTATCCACCATCTCCCTTGCTTGGCTGTACACTGAGTCATCATCCCATCCCACCCATCCACCCCTGGGCTCAGATGAAGCTGCTCCCAGGCTACAGTCCCTTCTGATGCACATGAGAGCAAACTGTGAGGGGTGGAGGAGATGGGAGCCCAAAACAGAGCCCAGCTGGAACCAAGTCAACACACAAAGCCCCCCAGTGTCACAAATGCTGGGATCATGGCCTTTGTGCAGGACCAGTTGAGCCATGGGGCTCTTGCAGTTTCCTGACAAACATAGCTGGTAGCCCTTGGGCATTGGGCACCAATCACTCCAAAGAGCCCACACACATGGAGGTGGGATGGGGCTGCAGGCAGTCACCTGCAGTAGAGACCATGGCTCCAGTCAGCTTGTGTGGCCAATCCTGGATCTCAGGGTGTATGGGTGGTCTTGGAGACACCACTTAATGTCTTCACCTGTGCACTGGGGGTGCTGGAACCCTCTTGTCAAGATCTGCAGACTCCTGACCTCATCTCAAGTGAAGTCTCTCTACGCCCAGATAGTCCAGGTGAGTTGAGAAAAATGAGGCTTAAGAAGGGACATGGTGTGAACCAAATCGAGGCCATGGGGAGTGTGTCCTGGCCATTCCACGGAGGGAGACTGAGGCTTAGCTGAGGAGAATGGTGGTAATAATATCATTGTCATTAGGGCAGAGAGACCTGAGCCAGGCGGCTGAAGCCGTGTGCTGGCCCTTCCACTCTTCTTTGCTCTGCTCTAGTGACACTGGGGAGATCTCGCTGGACCTGACTCTTGGGGGAAGTCACCAGGACTCAGTGTGCTGCGGTCAGCAAACATCATGGCTATGAGATCCTGCACTGCCTGACATAAGTTGGTCCTCGATTCTGATGGCCTTCCTAGCTCTTGCGCTAGTGGGCCCTGAGCAAACCGAATGAGGCCCTCCCCATCTTAGGGGCCGTACCATAGTTGGGTAATGTGTCCAGCCTGACTGAGCCAAGTCCTTGTCCAGTATCAGGACCAGTCCCCAGACACTAGGCACAGTGCCACCCACATGATGAGGAAATGAGGGACGAGTTCTATCCCTGCCACCCCTCAGTGCCGGCTGGGGAATGAGCTGTTCTCTGCCTCTTAGGAGGACCAGTCAGGGCAGATGATGTCCTAGGGATGCTGGGGAGATGACACTGTGCTGGCTTCTTCCTGGTCACCTTCACTGTAACACTGACCAAATGACACTCCCTAACTCATACCAAACGTGGTGAATAGCCACGGGGCAGGTGCTAGACACTGAAAACGGTTCAGCCAGGCCTAAACACAGGTCATTCACCACAAGGGAATATTTGGGAATCTCGGAATGCATGACATCCCCCTCAGGCACGTGGAGACCCTGACCAGCAGATCCCGATGGAACAGCCTCAACCTGCTGCTGGCCTTTCTCGGGGTCTGCTTCTATTCCTACAAACTTCCTAGGCCAGCAGGATAAGCCCAGGTATATGCTAGGCACCTCTCAGTCAGCAAACCCGAGGCAGGAACAGAGGATTTGGGCAGGGGACAGTAAGGGCTGAATGAGAGACAAGAAGCCCAGGTGCTGCAAGCATTGGGTGGGCGCACAGAGGAAGTGGGGAGTGAACACGTGGGCACAGGTGCCTGTCGGTTGCCTGTCTGTGCTTCTGTGGGGATGGGAGCAGTGTGGACTGCTGGGAGGTAGGGAATGGAGGGAGGGCTGCCTGGGGAGCAGAAGCCCCAGAGGAAACAGCATGGACCTGGGCAGAGCCCCTCGAGCCCCTTTCTTGCTGTGGCCTGATATCTGAAGCAAGGACCCCCATCACTGCCTGCTTTCATCTCCCCCTCGGGAGGAAAACTCTGGTCTTCTCAGGATCTCTGCCTTGGTTTCTCACTCTGCACCTTCCTCCTGGGGTTCACCCCAACTTTGATCTACAATATTCCTATCCCAGGAGCCCTTTGTGGACCTCAGCATGGGACAGGTCATCTCGGAGCTTCCCATCGGCCCTTCATACCCCCTTGAGATATCCTGGAGGCTTGAACCCTCTTAGGGGTAAGGTCCTTTGGACTCTGGAAAGGGTGGGAGTTTGAGGGGTGCTTTACCTCCTGGACAAGAGCTTCCTCTTATCCTTGAGCCAGGGGCATCTGTCCAGCCCCATAGTCCAAAGACCACCAGCCACTGTCTTCATCTCTGTAGCCAGTGACCCTGATGCAGGTATGAGACACATAGCAGGCACTCACCAGAGCCGAGCCATCGATGGTAAAGGCACTCGGCAGTAACACCCAGGTCTGCTATGTATTGGGTGCAGGCATAAGTTCTCCCTGTGACCGCCAAGGCCAACAGACACAGCAGAGAGCCATTGGGCCCTCTGAGGGAGATCCAAGATGGTGAAAGGGCTAAGTGACTTGACCAGAGCTGGAGTCCATCTGGGGATCTCGGCTGGGACCCAGGGCCCACACCCTGGACCACTTACCAGGAAAGGTGTTACCGTAGCACTCCTTAGACCCTCAGACAGACTCATTATCAATTACACACCACGTGTGACCCAGCATGGAAAAGCTTTGAGAACCAGTATGCCTGGCAGTAGCTATGCTGGTTGATGCTGGCCATGGCTGATGCTGGCTGTACTTAATTCCTTCACCAACATTCCTGGCCATGGCTTACTCAAGGATTTCATAATTTCTCACTGTTGGAAAAACCAGACTCCTCACTGTGAAAATGCTGAACTAAATGTTTCCCCTAATGACCGGACAGAGGGGACAGAGGAGGGAGGCACCGCCTAAAGGGGAACCCAGAGGCAGCGCCGGGGGGCTGGGGACGGACATGGGACAGACAGACATTTACCTGAGGTAGCACTGCTGCTCCTTGCCCGGCCAACCTCTGCAGGGAGCTGACCTGAGGACCGGTGACAGGCACTGCAGTGGTGGTTCCCAAAGCCTGGAAGACAGAGAGTGCAGCTATCAGATTCCAGCAGCCTGGGACCACGGGCTCAGAGATGGCGAACTCTACTCTTCTCCATATGATACTGTCTTGTTTTTCCTTTGCTTTTTAAAACCACCGAAGTAGTCTATCCTCATTTAAGAAAAACTGGAAGCTAGAGCAAGAAAAAGGAAAATGTTGCCCAGAGAACAGTCAACGTTCCTGTATGCTGGCTTCCCTGTTAAAGGGAAGTTTCTACAAACTTGCACATGCACACGTATGTACAAGTGTGTGTGCGCCAGGTGTTCCTCTGACTGGCCTTGCACTGGCCATCTGAGGATGATTCTGAACTTGGGATCTTCCTGCCTCCACCTCCCAAGTGCTGGGACTGCCAGGCATAACGGTGCATGCCTCTCACCTCAGCCCTAGGGAGGCAGCGGCAAGAGAATCTCTGTGAGTTCCAGGGCAGTCCGAACGACACAGAGAGACCCTGTCTAAAACACCCTGGCGCAGGTGCGTGCTTCCATGCAGACCCGTCATCTCTGAGTGCTTCTTTGGCTGTCTCTGTTCAGTAAGCACCAATGCCTGTGGTCCTAAGCCTTTGTTTCTGCTTCGGGTCCAGCCTTCTTTCCTGACTTGTGACAGAGGCAGCGTCTGTCTGTCACTTTGGTAATTTACACTCAGGGGAAGGAAGGAATGGGAAGCCAGGAGAGCAAGGAAAGATCAAGGTTCAGCAGAGATCCAGAGCTTTCAGTGGGGCAAGGACAGGGACAGCTTTGCTTCCACTCTGCTTGATTCTAAGTGACCAAAAGACACAGTCAGCTAGCTAGCTGCATAAGGGGTGGGGGTGGGGTATCCTGTAGGCTGTAGGAAGTCTGCACAACAGAGCCTGCTGGATACTTCAACTAAGAACCTGGTCAACTCCACCCAACCCCACAGCTGCATGACCTGAATTGGGGTGCCCGGCTGTTTTTCAGAGGGAACTAAATATAAGGTGCCTTTAAGTACAGTGTCCCGTGCGTCGGATGGGGTTCTGCACTGTACTGTGGGACCCACTGCATGGAACACCAGAGACCTGACAGTTCTCAGCCCACGTCCAGTCTCCATGCTGCTGGGAAAAGTCAGTAGCAAACATTGCCAAGCAGGGTACCAGTATCTTGCTGCTTCTGGGCATGGCAGGAGCTCTCCCAGAACATTCCTGCCACCTCTCACGGAAGGCTCACCCTAGCTGATGCCGCAAGGACTCTAGGTGCGCACTACTCAGCGCGGAAGCTTACATAGGCGTCCATCCTTCCACAGCCTCATAAAGCGCTCATTAACAAGCGAGAAGGCGTTTTGTCTGCGAGGACTGACCTCTCCGCTCCGGGCTGGAATTTATCGATGCAGCAGAAGCAGTCGCTTCAGAGGCTGGCTCACTTACAGCCACACTTCTGTCAAGATAAATGAGCTGCTGATGACGACATTTATAGCTCTGAGCATTTTAATAGAGGGAAAAGGGGCCATAAAAGTCAAAGATAACTTTCCTGTATTAGTTCAGTCCCATGGGCAGTCCGAGAGAGGGCGGAGAAGCTACCACGTGGCTGGGAGGCAGGCTCGGGCAGACCCTTCCATCTTCAGGGGCAGAAGCTCACGTGACTTTGGAAAAACTTGTCTTTGGCGAATGACTCATGAGCTTTGGCAGGGATGAAGGAGGGAGCAAGCACAGACTTGCTGTGACACCAATTACAATGGGCCACTTAGTGTTTTTGTGCTGGTGGCCCCAATGGCCACAGAAAGATGCTTGTACCACGAAGACTAAAGGGAGTGGCCCTGTGGGGATGGTCACTACACAGCCACGGGACCAGGGGACAATAGGAAGTTGTGTGGGAGAGAGGAACATCACCCCAGGCCTGAGCAGGACACAGGGCAACCTGGGGTCAACCCACCCTGTTGACCTCCTTTGGAAAGGTCTCTGTGTGAAAGGCTTGGTCTCAGGGTGCTGCAGTCTTGGGGAAATGTGGACCTGCAGAAGGTGGGGCTCAGCAGGAGGTCCTTAGGTCTTTGGGGACATAACCTAATGGGCTGTGGGGACCTTTCTTTCTCTCTCTTGCATCTATGCTTTCTCTCCTGGCCAGAAGGAAGTGCTCTGCTCTGTCACGTGCCCCACGTGCTCTCAAGAGGCCCAAAGTCATCTTGGACCTGAATGCCCAGAACTATGAGCTAGATACACCCATTCCCTTACAAACTCTCTTGGTTACCTCACGACAGCAACACAAAGCTAGGGACAGAGTGGGAGCCAGTCTGCCAGGCTGGAAGCCGGTGTGAACCCTCTGGGGGAAAGGGTTCCATCTCACTATCTCTGTCTCACTGCAGTGGCTGACAGGGCCAGTGTGGCTCTCATCTCTGAGGCTATCGGCACGAGACCCTCTTGTTAACGTGCCCCCAGCACTTTCCCACTTCTGATGGCTTCTGTGTGGCCCTTCTCCAAGCTCCAGACCAATGCAAACCTTAATGACAATACAAGGAGCTTCTCTACTTGATTCTGGTGAAGAAAAGGGTCCCCGTGAGGAAGGTTGACTAAATATACTGTGTGTGGGAGCCCCTCCTCCAGACCCACAATGATCTCTTTACTTTCTCCTTCAAACTCCAGCTAGGTGGTGGCTAGCACTGCCTCAGGTGGCACACGGGACATCAGAAGCCACACTGGCAAGGTCCCAATGCAAGAAGCTTTTGGCTGATAGTAGCCAGGAGGGGGTCTCCATAGCAACATCCACCATAGCATCCAGATGGGACAGAGAACGCTGGGGTTGGAGCTGTCTGCTGTGTGAGTGGCCTTGAGCTGCCTCCCAGGGACACATGGTATGGTTCCTGCTCGTGACTTCAGAGCACTGAGTTCCATGATGCGATGAGGGCCCAACAGCCATGACTGCCCTATTCTGGCAGTCACCAGAGAAACACATCTGGATTCCCATCCCTAAGTCACAAACCAGTCAGGAGGCTCAAGGGTCAGAGCCACAGACTACAGCTTAGAGATCATGAGACCCAAGCTCCCTGAAATTTTTTATAGGCTAAGATCCCAGAGCCCAGAAGAGCGAGTTCTAACATAGAGGTTTGGTCAACTTAGAAAAAATGCTCCTTTTCCCCTACAGTTCTAGAGCAATGATTCTCAACCTTCCTTTAATACAGGTCCTCGTGTTGTGATGACCCCAACCATAAAATTATTTTCATTGCTACTTTATAACTACAATCTTGCTACTGTTACAAGGTGTACTGCACATATTTGGATGTTGGTCTCTGTCCCTGCCAGATCCCTAAATTCTTCCTGGGGAGGCGGCACAAGGTGTGTCCTGGTGGAGATGAAGACAAGTTCTCCCCTCAGAGTGTGTACTGAGGGTGGGTAGGGAGGAGAGGCGAGGCCAGTGTGATGCTTTGAATAAGAATGTCTCTTATAGGCTTATCATTTGAATACTTGGTACCAGCTGGTGGTACTATTTGGGGATTAGGCAGTGTGGCCTTGGCTGGGAGAGGGATGCCACCGGAGGCAGGCTTTGAGAGATGTCTAGATGCCATTAGTTCTCTCTCTGTTTCCTGCTTGGCAGTCAAGATGTGAGCCCACAGCTTCCCCCACCTGCCGCTATGCCTCCACTCTGCCACCAGGGAATGGAGCGATAGGCCTAAAGAAACTCTCCCTTCTAGAAGTTGCCTTGGTCATGGTGTTTCGTCACAGCAACAGAAGGTGACTAGGACAGCCAGTGAGGCAGTACCCATTGGCTGGCATCTGGAGCAGAGGCCGGGATGTGTGCCAAGGCACCTGGGGTGAGCCCAGGACATATTGCTGGCCCTTCAGAGTTCAGACTCATTCATTACATGGGCAGGGGCCCATGGAACATTGTCACACCAGGCACACAGATAAGGATTTCTGCCCCTTGGGCCATCTGACCCCTCTGGGTTGTGTCATGTGACTTTGACCACTATGCTCCAAATGACAGCATGAGTGCCACAGGCAGAGACTGTGGGCTGGGCACAGCATAGCAATGGTGTCACAGGGTCAGACTTTGCCTGGACCCCAGCTTCCCTGCAGGAAGGTCTTGGGGACTGGATCCTGAACACTTAATATTCCAGCACACTCCCTATAACCTCAGTCAATCTGCTGGCGGGGAGGTGCCAGGCACAGGACACTGGAGTCTGAGTGTAGCTCCCAGAATGTCAGCGGCAGAACCTCAAAATCTCTGCTTTTCTGGCTGTTTAGGAGGATGCCTGCTCCCATCTGCTCCCAGGGCCAGGATTCCAGCTTCCGAGGCCCCAGGTGAGGCACATTCCTCTTTCTGGTTGGGTCGAGGAAGCGGGGAGGGGGAGGGTGGGGGTAAGGGGGAGCTGAGCAGAGGATGGTTGCTTTCTTACCTCCGCTCTATGTGGCCCAGCCTTGGCAGACACAGGCACAGAGTGCAGCGGTTTAATTGCATCTGGGTTGTGGTTTTCCTGCATCCTTACAGAACTGCTGTGATGTGTGGCTCAGATAACGAGTGAGCCCCAACATCGGTAGCTGCTAATAAATATTAATATAACATAAGCACCGCTTTGACTGTCATGGGAACCGGCTTGTTATTCACAGATGAAAATCAACGGTTGCCTTTATCACTGTCGGCAGGAAAGAGCTTGCCCCAACCGAGGCTGCTGGAGCAAGGATTCCAACTTGGTGTCCCCTCATTTCCTAGACACAGAGCCTCCTCTAGCTTCAGAGATGAGTGCCACCTGAAGTTGTCACAAATACCGAGGGCAGTCCTGCTGGCTGTCCTGCCTCCTCCAGCCGCTGCTCACAGCCATGCAGAGCACAGCAAGAGTTGAGCAGCTGCACCAATCTGCACGTGAATTTCCATCCATCAGCAGCACAGTCAGCCTACAGCCTTGTCCGCAAGCTGGAGGAGCGAGCACCCCCTTTCAGTTACCAGGACCAGAAAGGAGGGTGGGATGCATCTGCATGCTTGGCAACAGGTCATTCCAACATCTCTGCTGCCCTGGGTCCTGATCCCCCCAAGACAAATGTATACCATACACCAAGGCCATCACGTAGTGACAA